CCAGTAGGCGGGGGCTGCTGCACTGAGCCATATCTGCAGAATCCGAAGCAGGGCGGGGGGGGGGGCCTGCAGAGGCTGGAAGCCACCCTAGGGAATGGGGGCAGGGCTGAACCGGCAGACCTGGCGGGAGCCCAGGTCTTCTCTTTGCAGAGGTGGTGGTTAGCAGGATCGATGGCAGCAGACGGGCAGAGGTGGGAGGACAGACTCATCAGCACTCCGTTTTCCCAGTCACAGTATGAGAGGGGACCGCAGGTCTTGGGAAATCCCTGGGGAGGAAAAGCATGTTGTGCATTGCAAGCTGCCCAGAGAAACTAATTAATGAATTATTGGGGAGAGCGATGGAAGGAGATAAGGCTGTCTCTGCCCTGTCAGAGAACAGGAAGGAGAATTAGGGGCAAACAGAGAGGAGATGCATGACCACAACTGGGCCTGGGTTCCTATCCCCGAGACTGACCCTCCTCTTGGCCACAAGCCAGTCCTTTAGGGGCAAAAACAGCAGGTACAAAAGGAGGGGAGGGATTCAAGATTGGGCTCAGAGTTCAAAACCCAGGCCTCACACAGGACCCCACCCGGCTTGGGGTGCTCCAACCCATCACCTGTCTTCAAGATGCCCCAGTTGCCATAGCAACCACCTCCTTCCTGATCTGTTCTTGGCAACTGGCCAGGAGTAGTGCACATTCCTTCTCCTGCCTCCTGGCTCCACCCTTGGTCCAGCCTCGCCCTGAGGACCTAGATTGCTGGGGCAGCAGGGACCAGAGGAGGATCTTCTGCACGGAGTACCCACTACCCAGGGAGGAGCCAGAGGATTCTGCTTACCCAGCGGGTTCCTGATAACTTTTAGGGAGGGAGGGTGTGTGGAAAACCAGGAGACAAAAGTGAGATAATGCAACTGCTCCACCCCTGATGCAGTCTACTGCAGCCTAGGAGAGCCGCTCATTCATTCATTCATTCATTCATTCCAGAAAACTTCTTTGAGAGCTTTTCACATATGCCAGGATTAACAGCAGACATGAGTCAAATTTACTCACTGTCTGGTGGGGGAGCTAAGACAGGGCACAGGTGACTCTAAAGCAAGTTCCCCATCTTGATGCTTTTCAGTATCACCTTCATGATTTTTTCCCATTTAAATGCTCCTCCCGCTGCTATTTATTTAATACTTTTCCTTCAAAGGATTAACTTTTTTTGTGTGTGTGACCGGTAAGGGGATCGTAACCCCTGGCTTTGTGTCATCTGCACCACGCTCAGCCAGTGAGCACACCGGCCATCCCTATATAGGATCCGAACCCGCGGCCTCGGCGCTCCCAGCGCCGCTGTGCTCCCAGCGCTGCACTCTCCCGAGTGAGCCACGGGGCCGGTCCCAAAGGATTAACTTTTTAATAAGCTGTATTTTATATATCACCACCACAACTGGAAAATCAGTATTTTTTGCCTTAAACTGAAGGCATAAAACCAATCTTAAGCAAATGACTCACTTTTCTGGGATCAGTGTCCCACTTTTGTGAAGTGGGGATGAAGATAGCATGTATATCAGAGTTTTTGTGAACATTAAATGTACTAATATCTGTAACATGCTTAGAAGAGAGCCTGGCACAAAGTCAGTGCTATTCATTGCTGGTTACATAAATAAGTAAAGGAGAAAACCTAATAATGTCACAGAAAATTCTACCTAGATATTATTCCCTGCTGAAGGCTCTGTAATGGCAGAGATTAAAAAGGGTTGGAGGGTGTTCAAGACACCTCAGCGCCAGCCTAAGACTTCCTTTTTGAAGACTTCCTCTTTGAGACCTGGGAAGGGCAAACTTCAGGTTGTGTGAATCAGTGCTACTCAGGGTCTTGCCTCAAGGCCACCTAACTCAGTCAGTTTAGGCTAGAGCATGTTGTGGTAACAAATAGTACCAAAAGTCTCAGTGGCTTAGGACAACCAGGATTTATTTCTCACTTAGGCTATATGTCCATTGCAGGTTGACTCTGGGTCTCTAGTCACCAGAGAAAACTAGAGCAGCCACCACCTTGAACATTCAGGTCACCAGGCCAAAGGCAAAAGAGAGCCCATGCATGAGCACTTAAATGCTCCAGCCTGGAAGTGACAATGACACTTCCACTCATAGTGCATTGGTCAGAATGAGTCACATGGCCCCACCAACCTCAAGGGAGCCTAGAAGGGGGAAGAGGAGTACTAATGACAACA